ACAGTAGGTGTTCATCGTGTAAGAAGAGAATATCTAAACAGATATATATGCATGTTAACCACATGTATATACATATTGCTTAACCTTGTTATTGAAAGCGAACCAATGGTTGATGATATTGGCTAAATTATAAGCAAAAAAAAAAAAAAAAAAAAAAAAAACCGAGAATATTATAGCTGGATAATGCCGACTGTTAAATACTTTACACTGCTTGACCTAGTACAGTTATTCGTTAGTTTCAGTAATAATACAACAAAAATTACATTACATTGCATTACTTTCATGCAAAGACTATTACTTTTTATGTAAGTCCGCATAATGAAGGTTACTGAAAACATCATATGACATCTTCTAAATTTCGAAAATTCAATTTACTTCACAAAAATTTTACAACATTTCAGTTTCCGTCGTCGGACATTAAAAACTGCGCTTTCTCTCCATATGAGAGCTTACTTTTCATGATAACGCTTACATATACTAGAGTCGAAGGAAGAGACCTATGTTATCCAAATTTCCTATTCTTACTATTTTTTGGTTAGTTGACGGCTATCCAGCAATTTTTAGCATAAAATATTAAAATATGAATCTTTTTCTGATGGGCTTACTATTGGATCGGGGGCCGAAGCAATAGACCCAAATTTGGTCCAATTAATTTTTATGTCAAATTACTATCATGAACAAAATTTTCGTCATAGAGCATTAACAATTAGTCCTTTTTAAAGGCTTACATTTCTTCAGAATACTTATATGCGGTGATACCCAAAAAATTAACCTACTTGGTCCAAATCCGGTAAGGTTGATTTCTTTATCAATTTACTCTTATAAAACAATTCTCACAATGAAATATTGAAAACTAGACTTTTTCACCATGTTCGGATTCAGTTTTCGTAGGTTGCACGAGAGACAATCCAAAATATTCGGTCCCAACTGAACAAAATTTCTCATACCAATTTACAATGTCGAAATGCTATTAGTACATAACTTTTGCCGAAAAATTTTGAAAGCGCAATTTTTTTTTGAAATGGTCGAACAAGTTACCCAATCCAAGCCATTTTTAATAGCGTGCGTCTATGGATCAGAGCACGTCCTTATATTAAATTTTATCAAAATATGCGACCCATAGGTGGAACATAAAGTTTACGTGAACAGAACTTCGGACGGGCAGAGAAACCTACATCGATTCAGAAGATGATTCTGAATCGACTGGTATAACAAACGGTGGGTTTATTTTAAGCTCTTCAGGGCATTACATACGTCTACATAATGGAAAGAATACTTAGTCTGCCGTTTATTTCGGAAGAGTCGTAAGATTTCGAATAATAAAGTATGAATGGCTCCCCAAAGTTCTTGTAATTTTCATAAAATATTTTCCGTCCTATACAACTTGCGGTGCAAAGGTATTTGTGCAGGTGTATGCAACCTGAAGAAGGACTTGAGACAGATCTAACTTTTCTTGTACAAGAAAGGGTTTTTCAATCTATCTAAGCTTGTCTGTCCGTCTGTCCCTCTTCTTGACTTTTGGGCTATCTACACGACACAATTTTGAAGATATTTTGCAATTTTCTACGCCGATATATATATCCCAAGCACCTTATAGTACCGTGTTTTGAAAAGTCGTTACATGAATAATCGTATTAAGCGGACCCGTGTAGAGGTTTGTTTATACTACAGTCTTTTAAACATTTTAAGCAGATTATCTTTATTTTCGCATTACGTCTGTATATAACTGCTCTTGTTTTCTGCGATTTTACGATTGCAGTCCACGGCGATTCACAATCTACATTTGAAGGTGGAGCGACGTGTATTGTCCACCGTCCTCCACTGCTTCAGAGAAATTGTATTTAATAACTTCATTTATTTAGTCTTTGCACGATTTTGGATTAACTACAGCCATCACCATATCCCCGAAGAGTCATATTCAGCTGTCACATTAAACCACTCTTTACGCAAGCGCAATAATAAGTGGGGACCTTAACATCGGTCGTCCCCTTACCTCGAACAATAACGCTTTCATATATTCGGCATTACGCGAAATATAGCGACTCTTGTATTGAAATTCATCAAACATGTATGAGTTATGCAACTTTTTCTCCGCCGATTTTCCATGTCCAATAAAAAATATCGAAGCACCTAATGTTAGTCATCGAATCATACTATTACTCATCTTCTCTCGTTAATAACGCACAGAACTGTGATAAGTCTTGGACCTACGTAGTAATTGATTGCTTACTAAAGCAAGGGGACGATCATGTCCGTGGACAGTTGCGATCGGCGGGCTCTTTAGCCCGTTAATATGTGCAATCTCATCTTTATTCGAAGATGCTCGGGTTCCATCGCCGCCATTCATGAACTGAATTTCGACTCTACAATGGTTTGTAGTAGAACCAAATCGCATCGACTGCTAGCAAATTAGCACTTAAAAGCTTCTACGGAAAAATGACAATGAAGTAAAGACATTTGCAACGCCTGGAAGACCCCACAAAGTCTATATATATATTTTTGATCAGCATCACATTCTAAATCGATTTAACCAGGTTCGTCCGGTCGTCTGTGTAAATGTCTGTTGTAAGAATTCTGCTGACCGCAGAAATGAAACTATCGACTTTGAATTTGGCAGACACATTGAAAGTTCTGGCACGCAACTTGTTATTGAAAACGAACCAAATCGGTCGAAGGACACACCCACAGCACGACATAAACTGAGAAGACCTCTGCTTTTTGACGGGAATGAAAAATTGGTTTTTTGATCATTACTCATAAACTATAGCGGATAAATGTTCAAAAGCTCGAACGAAAATTCCATGGGCGATGCTGTAGCGTCTGTAGAAAAATGGAAAAAATTGACCACGACTACCCAATATTATATTGCATGTTTCAAAAACCTCATAACCTACATAAGTCCTTAGCCAGTTTCACATTTGGAATGCATCTAACCATGTCCGTCTTTTCGTCTGTCCACCCGTCTGTCTGCGCAACTGTGTAGTATTTGTGGTAAACATTTTCCCGTTAGCGAAAATGATGATATCGCCTACAAATTTGCAAAAATTTGTGGGATTGATCTAAATTTTTCGAAGAAGGCGCTTAAAACGCCCACATGCCTGTATTTTGAAAATAGAAAAAGTCAGTCGCGCCCACTTCGTATTATAGATTATGGAAACTTACTTCTCTTACTGTTTTTTGTCTTTTTTTGGATAACAGTGATAGGCATAAAAGATTCGCTTCCAACCAAATATAATTTTCTTTCTAGTTTTTAAATATATTTGCTCGCATAACTTCACTAAGGATGCTAAGGACGTAGTTAGGTTATCCCGTAAACACTCAGAACTTTTTCCAATGTTTTTTTTTTTTGCAAAATTAAGATAAATGTAAATCCCTTTGTTAATCGAAAACCTTCACCTTTTATCACCCTTTCTGCTGGAGCTGCGGTATTTCCATTCGAAACTTCATTTCGCTATGAAAAAATATATTGATCTATCCCCTTCCTATCTATAGAATTCATATATTTTTTTTTCTCAATTTTCCCAACTGTGTTATCCCGGTGATCGAAGAACAGCATTCGTTTTCCTCGTTCTTCCCTTTAGCCCTAAACTTTTTCTTACCTCACACTATTATTGCGCAAAAGCACCAGACATTTATTTTATGAATGTGATTAAATTCAAAGAATTGGAGACAGGATGAATATGTACATATTTTCGAGGAGGCTTAATTCGAAATTTTAGATTTAAAGGTTAAACGCAGTTTTTGCAGATATGACAGTTACAAAAACCTCCTTTTGAAGAACTGCATTTTTTTTTTTTTTTTTTTTTTGAGTATTCTTTTGACTAAGCGGACAGCTTTTCGACGCTTATACTACTCGTATTCCTTCTCTGGAATTTTATGCTGTCTTTTTTTGTCAGAATTGGAAAGGTAATGAGTGAGCTTGGGATCTTTTGACGGACCATCGTTAAATACCCCGCACCATTCAATGATGATTTCTTATTTGAAAAGTGGTCGAAAAGATGGTCCAATCCAAGCCATTTTCAATAGCGCAAAATTCAAGAATTGCGCACAAAACAATAAGAGTGACAGGCGGACAGACAAACTCAATATAAGGTGGCTCTATGTCAAGTCCATTTTTTCAAACACATACACTACCGATTTTAGAGGAAAGTGATCCTTAAAAATTTCTTTCTGACAAAAAAGTTCTACTACTTTTCTGCAAAAAAAAATCTGTTAACGATATTTGCGCTTTCTGTTACAAGAGAAATAAAACTGTGTTGTTTAGGTGTTTTTGCGATATGGAATCTTTCTCTATGAACACTTAGATGTCGAGTCCTGTTTTGTGTACGCATTTTGATCATTTCCGTACTGCCAAGCGCTTTCAAAGTTTCCGGAACGTAAGATTTCTTCCAAGAGAAAGCTTGCTTCTTAAGCTCTGCTCAATGTTTTATGAAAATACAGTTGGAACCTGTAAATTTCCTATTATTACTTGTTCTAACCTCATGTTCTATATCAAGCTTCTTTACAATTTTCATTGCATTAGAGAACGTAATAGAACGATTCAAGTGCTTCAAAGATGTTCTTCAAAAGTGAAAAAAAGAAAAAAATGAATAAATGAATAAAAAACAATTAATTAATTAAGGTTCTCAGCTTTCGTTTTAGCCGAAAACAGAATACACCTTATTATTTATGCGATCACCTAACACATACGCTTTATTTACTACGTATTGATTACAAATGCGAAAACGAAGGTAACAAGAAAACATAAAAATGATTACAGAGAAAAACCCTAAAAAAAAAAAAAAAAATAAAAAATAAAAAAAAATAATTTCAAGAACTTGTGGTTTTTATAGGAAAGCAATCCATACGAGATGAACAACAGCAACGAATGCAACAACAATCAAAAAAAAAAAACGATCTGTATCATGTGATACGGTCTGAGATCGAATCCGCTCAACACGAGAGCAGAGTGTAAAAAAAATAAAAAAACAATAAAAAGCAAGAAAGAAAGAACAACTAACCTTGACAATACAAAGAATTAGCTTGCGGTGGCAATTATCCTTCTTGGTATCCCCAATCATAGCGATGATTAAAATTATTATAAAATAATAGCAAGGTGATGAGAGATAGGAATTTTGAAATTTTTTTTTTTTTTCTTTTCTCCCCTTCGTACTTTACTTCTAAGAACACCAATATTTCCAATGTTTTAACATCGAAAACTTTACTTTAATAAATTAATTTTTGTTTCCTATTAAAAAAATTTCAACCATTTCATAATAATTATAAATAATTATAATAAAAAATAAATAATATATAGTATTTTTTTTTTTTTTTTTTTTTTTTGCAAATATTGATTCATAACGTGAAAGTTTTAGCTAAATTAAATTTCTCTCAATTTGATGTCACTTGGCCAAATAAAAAAAAAAAAGAAGAAATTAAAATGAAAATGTAAATCACTTTTTAAGAAAATAATTTGTATCACTATCACACCATTGACGACGAGGCGACCACGAATGATCAGCTTCCGCTACTGAAAGCCGTGTATGATTATTATGACTACGCAACTATGGCTGAATAAAAACACTGCAACAAACATGACAAACAGTACAAAAGACGCGTCACACACAATCCGTACACACACAAGGCACTAAGGAAAAAAAAAATAAAAAAAATAAAAATATATATATATATATAAAAATAAAAAAAAAAAATAAAATAAATAAAAACGCTTCTTTACATTTTATACGAAAAGGCAAACCTGGCTTGATTACAATAATAAAATACATACCTACATATGTCAGAGAAATGTGTTTAAAAGAGACGTAAAAGAATTGAGGATTACACAATAAATACACAAATAAGTATGGAGCGACAACTGAAACTGTAAAATACAACATCATTGAACGGAAACAACGAAGAAAGAGAATAAGAAGAAAATACATTAAGCTAAACGTTCAGCTAAGCATTCGTTATCATAGCACGTATGTATGAAGGCTTTTTTTTTTAAACATTCCAACGTCCAAATAACCGCGTAAACTTAAAGAACAAAACTATCGTAGTTCTTCTTCTTCTTTTGTTCTTTCCACATTTTTCACAACTTATTCCAACACCGGACAAATACCGGATAATCTTCTTCTTGCAAGTACTTGAAAAGAGTTTATTTTATTAAATTCTAAGCGTGTGTTCTTTCTTTATAAACAACATAAATATTATTCACCATCTAAGGCATTGATTACAAAAAAATTTAACTTATACTCAGCATAGACTCCTGTCAAACAGAAATCTGTTTAATACGTTTTACGCGTATCCGATTACAGAAATTGAACATATTTTAAGCATTTTACGCAATTTCTGTATTTCTGTGTAAATAAAACCCGATACCACTATTTATTAGCTTAATTAGAAGCAAAACATTAAGAATAAATCTGCGTTTCTCAAGTGACGATGAGACTAACAGAAGCAATTCATTTTCATGAAGAGGTAAAGAGACAAGTTGATCTCAAGCCAAGGAGCAGGAATGGCTTTTAATGAAATGAATTCTACTGGATCTACATAACACATTAGGGGGAGGAGTATCGGTCTAACTAAGCCCGCGTGCAGCCCTTTCGTAATGTAAGTATCGTTAAGCTCCTTTGATCACGGTTTAATGCAACCTAATGCCAAGCTGGGTTTACTTAAACGCAGCTAACATGTCTTCCAATCTTTACAAATCGATGAAATACTCAGCAGTGAACGAATTCCTCCTTGAGAAAGAAAGTTTTTTGCAATTTTTAAAAATGTAATTCCATAAAAAATTAATGAACAACATGTAAACAAATTATCTAAGTCAGTTTGTAGCTGATACGAGTGCGATTCCAAGGAGAAGGAACAGCTTACAGCTAAAAATCGTTAGCGTACATTGAGATATGGTGAACATCATAGATGTATAGAATAAATAAAAAAAAGCTTTAAGTGACTGCCTTAAGGGACACCTGTCATCACGGGAGCTTCATCTGAGGCGGTGGAGTTAAACACAACCCTGAAGAGCTTATCCTTTTCAATGAATCGAAAGGGAAGATAGAAGCTAGGATTTTGAAAATCGCACACTTTATTAAAATCCGTGTATACGATACTCAGGCGAGAGGTAGCTTTATCTGAATTTAAAAAATCAAATATTTCCGATTAACTGATGAGTATAGATCATGATTGAGCAAAGATGATATTTGAATCTTTGGCGGGTTTCTATGCAACAAAACGCATTGCAACATGTATTGCGTTGGAAAATACGACGTAAGCATAAGTAAACCTTCTTTCGCCTGCTAGTGAAGTGAGCGCAATTTCAATAAGATTCACTCATTCGTTTGTTAAGAAAACCGATTGACGTTGAAAGTAGTATTAGAAGCAAAAAAAGTAATAGTGTGACCTTCTAAAGACTCTCTCCCTTAGACTTTTACTCTGCTTGACTTCTAGGTGCAAACATATTGCTTGAAATTTTAAAATTCATTTAATTTCTTAAATTTACTTTCTTTTGTATCATCCTAGCGCAGTCAGCAAAAGAAATAACTGCAATTGACTAATTGTAAGTCTGCATTATGTACATATAAGAAATTATATCGAAACCGAGTGACTCTTACTACAAAAAACAAACAAATTCGCTGCAGTAAGGTTGAATTTTAACACGGACTGAACTCTACTACGCTACATCATATAATATAGATGCCACTACTGTTGACGAATCCAAAAAATATATTGGATAGTACGATTCCGCTCATTAATTTCTCTTAGTTATTTAGCCATTTTTGTTTTTGTAAAACAATAGAAAAATCTGAGTTTCGCTAAAAAGCAGTTGCAACTGATCCGGGGTATAGTGAAATTTTGAAACACTTCACTTAAAGCTTGACACCATCTAGAAATCATATGGCATAGTCATACAATAGTCACCCTACCAGATGCACGTCATCTTCGGAAATCATTGAATGATCTGTCCTGACCTTCAAAACTGACAATGCACTATGGCCCTATAACATCACTTTTCCTGGCCAAAATGTATTAAAATTTGAATGCTTAGCCAATCTTAAGTGAAATTTGGCAAGTTTAGGAGAACTTGCCAAATAAAATGAATTCAGAAAATGTGAAAGGCTTCTGGGAAAAGCATATGGCATTCAAGTTTTGTACATTTTGTATTATAAAATTTCCATAGCCTACGGCCAACACCCTTCTTTCCCTTAGTTACTTTTTCTTGGCCAGTTTGGTTATCTTTTAAAAAGCGAAGAACTCAGGTAAACCTTGTACAACGGCGAACGCCATTCTGGTTGCATATGCATAAAACAATTGCTGTATAACGGCAGGCAAACTATGTTAAAAAATTGACTTTTGACCAAGAAAAGTGGATCATAATGCAATGACTGGATCATTTGATAATGACGATGAAAAAATGCAATCGAAGATAAGCATTTACTTCATTGTTGCCATCTCGCCAAATCGAATTATTTAACTTCCTTTGTGTGTTTGTGTGTGTGTGTGTGTGTGTATATGAAAATAGTTCCCTTCAATTCAATTAAGTCCGCTACTCATACAAAGTCAAATATTTTGATATTTTTACGGACGCCACAATTGAGGTTAAATATTGAATTTTTTGATATGATTTTATTCAGCAGGTATGTAAGTAAAGTTAAAATAACTATGTTATGTTAAATTCATAACAAAGTTTACATACGTTTATACCCATCCACAGAATGGACGCGTACTAGATTTGTCTTTTCAAATTGAATGCTGGGCAATCTTATGATTTTTTTACTCAATGTAAGGTGCATGCCTCTCTGTTCGATCTATACTCTGAAATGCTCATGGACACAAGAATCAATTTAGAAAAAAATTAAAATTTCGAATATTCATACCATGTAGTCAAGGACGAATCTTGAAAATGGACGCAACATGCTTGATAAAGAAGCCAAGAAACTATCTCAAGTCAAATTCAAATTCGATTTGAAAATTATTTGTTATCATATTTTCAGAATTTTGCCATCTTAAGACAAGACGAACTCCCGAAATTGATCTCAAATTATTTCTTATCACTCCATCTCATATAGAGCGCAATAAATTTTTTTAGTTGTCCCATATACGATATGCATCCTCTATCATGCTATTAAATATTATTGCATTGTTTTTTTCTTTTTTTTTTTTTCTTTGTTATAGCATGCGAACTATTATAGATTTTATCTTCATCTCAGTCGTCTTGAGTGAGTTAAAAAAACGAAATTCCTCAAATCCAATAGTGACATTTTGTTTTGGGATAGTTGGCGTAGTTATATTATTTTGCTTTCTCCGTTATATGAAAATTTGCTTACTTAACTATTGTTAAGCAAAAGACCAATAGTCTGAACTGTTTGTGAATTATTTAATGTGAATATTAGATCAACAGCTGTTGTTTGGCGTCGGCAACAGATGAAGATCGGTTGAAATTTGTGGTATTGTGCGAAAGAGCTTAAGTTGTTAACAGAAATAATTTACGCCCATTGCGACCGCTGAAAGTAATGGATGTTTGAATGACTGCAGCCATATATTCAAATTTCAAGTAGGCTTTATAACAATCTATATTTATCGTATGTTAAGTTTACGTACATTATTTCGCGGAAGCTCTTCCGATAAGAAATTCAGGCATCCCTACCGTTCTACCGTTTGCCGATTGAGTTTGAAAGTTTTCACGTAGGGCAACGTAATTCTATAGTCTTTAGCTAAACGTTGATTACTACGTTATATATGCCTCATTACACTCGAACGCTTATATGCGTGTATTACAATAGGAATAATAAGATTAGTGTATAAGCGTCGGCCTTATGATTGTATATAATAAAACTTAAGTCTTATGTTTTTTATGTCATGTTACTTTTCAGCTACCGTACTGTAGTAAAATAAAACTAATCATATCGATTTTAAACGATATCAAAGCCCTCTAAGCTTTAAAGGGCAAATGTTCGACAACAAAAAGAAAGAAATAGGAACGTTTTCTGCAAACTGCATATGCATATACAAACAAACAATTAAATAATTTATGTAATTATGCTCATCCGCAAAGAAAGAAATATTGCTAATGCATATGAATATAAATTGAATGAATGAGATTAATATATGAATTTTGATCCCATGAAGAGTTCCATATATATATATATAGAAAATCAATTTAATTACTCATCAATTTAGTTACTCATCCATCACAGGATTTATTTCAAATAAATTTGCGTGAAA